GACTAACCAATTTATCTGAGCATAAGCTTTCGTGAGCTACAGCTCACTTCATCGGATGCATACTGTGGAAACTGCAGAAGACATTATATACACAGAGACCATGAAACAATACCTCCTCCCACCCCACTCTCCTGCTGGTAATAGCCCATCCAAAGTGACCACTCTCTTTACAATGTGTATGATAATCAAGGTGGGCCATTTCCAGCACAAATCCAGGTTTTCCCCCCCCCCCCCCCCCCAAAAAAAAAAAAAACAAAACAAAACACACACACACACAAACTCACTCTCCTTCTGGTAATAGCTTATCCAAAGTGACCACTCTCCCTACAATGTGCATGATAATCACGGTGGGCCATTTCCAGCACAAATCCAGGTTTTCCCACCCCCCCCACCCCCATACACACACAAACTCACTCTCCTTCTGGTAATAGCTTATCCAAAGTGACCACTCTCCCTATAATGTGCATGATAATCAAGGTGGGCCATTTCCAGCACAAATCCAGGTTTTCTCACCCCCCCCCCCCAAAAAAAAAAAAAAAAAAAAAAAAAGAAAAAACACACACACACAAACTCACTCTCCTGCTGGTAATAGCTTATCCAAAGTGACCACTCTCCCTACAATGTGCATGATAATCACGGTGGGCCATTTCCAGCACAAATCCAGGTTTTCCCACCCCCCCACCCCCATACACACACAAACTCACTCTCCTGCTGGTAATAGCTTATCCAAAGTGACCACTCTCCCTATAATGTGTATGATAATCAAGGTGGGCCATTTCCAGCATAAATCCAAGTTTAACCAGAACGTCTGAAGGGGGGAGGGGGGGTAGGAAAAAACAAGGGGAAATAGGCTACCTTGCATAATGACTTAGCCTCTCCCAGTCTCTATTTAAGCCTAAATTAATAGTATCCAATTTGCAAATGAATTCCAATTCAGCAGTTTCTCGCTGGAGTCTGGATTTGAAGTTTTTTTGTTATAAGATAGCGACCTTCATGTCTGTGATTGCGTGACCAGAGAGATTGAAGTGTTCTCTGACTGGTTTATGAATGTTATAATTCTTGACATCTGATTTGTGTCCATTTATTCTTTTGCGTAGAGACTGTCCAGTTTGACCAATGTACATGGCAGAGGGGCATTGCTGGCACATGATGGCATATATCACATTGGTGGATGTGCAGGTGAACGAGCCTCTGATAGTGTGGCTGATGTGATTAGGCCCTGTGATGGTGTCCCCTGAATAGATATGTGGGCACAGTTGGCAACGGGCTTTGTTGCAAGGATAGGTTCCTGGGTTAGTGGTTCTGTTGTGTGATATGTGGTTGCTGGTGTGTATTTGCTTCAGGTTGCGGGGTTGTCTGTAGGCAAGAACTGGCCTGTCTCCCAAGATTTGTGAGAGTGTTGGGTCATCCTTCAGGATAGGTTGTAGATCCTTAATAATGCGTTGGAGTGGTTTTAGTTGGGGGCTGAAGGTGACGGCTAGTGGCGTTCTGTTATTTTCTTTGTTAGGCCTGTCCTGTAGTAGGTGACTTCTGGGAACTCTTCTGGCTCTATCAATCTGTTTCTTCACTTCCGCAGGTGGGTATTGTTGTTGTAAGAATGCTTGATAGAGATCTTGTAGGTGTTTGTCTCTGTCTGAGGGGTTGGAGCAAATGCGGTTGTATCGCAGAGCTTGGCTGTAGACGATGGATCGTGTGGTGTGGTCCGGGTGAAAGCTGGAGGCATGTAGGTAGGAATAGCGGTCAGTAGGTTTCCGGTATAGGGTGGTGTTTATGTGACCGTTTGGGGACAATGTATACCTTCAGATCAGCGGCACTGCTATGGGTACCCGCATGGCCCCACAGTATGCCAACATTTTTATGGCTGATTTAGAACAACGCTTCCTCAGCTCTCGTCCCCTAACACCCCTACTCTACTTGCGCTATATTGATGACATCTTCATCATCTGGACCCATGGAAAAGAAGCCCTTGAGGAATTCCACCATGATTTCAACAATTTCCATCCCACCATCAACCTCAGCCTGGTCCAGTCCACACAAGAGATCCACTTCCTGGACACTACAGTGCTAATAAACAATGCCTGGGGGCGCGGAGGGTGAGAAAACCTGGATTTGTGCTGGAAATGGCCCAACTTGATTATCATACACATTGTAAGGAGAGTGATCACTTTAGATAAGCTATTACCAGCAGGAGAGTGGGGTGGGAGGAGGTATTGTTTCATGGTCTCTGTGTATATAATGTCTTCTGCAGTTTCCACAGTATGCATCCGATGAAGTGAGCTGTAGCTCACGAAAGCTTATGCTCAAATAAATTGGTTAGTCTCTAAGGTGCCACAAGTACTCCTTTTCTTTTTGCGAATACAGACTAACACGGCTGTTACTCTGAAGCCAGCAAGCCCTGCTTCCAATCAGTCAAAGAGGTAAAATACAGAGCAACAATATCGCTTCCCCCACACTCCTATTTGGTATGAATTCTGTTACCATAAATACTATACTAAAAGTTTTGTGAAAAAAGTTAATTTGCTCAAGGACATAAGTATGACTATACTGGTCCATCTTGTCTCCAACAATGACCAGTACCAGAGCTTCACAGGGAGTACACAGAACACAGCAGTTTTGGAGAGATCTACCCTAGTCTTCCCCTCCTGGCTTCTGGCAGTCAGAGGTTCAGGGACACCCAGAGCATGGGGTTGCATCGCTGACCATCTTGGCTAATAGCCATTGATGGACCTATCCTCCATGAACTTATCTAGTCCTTTGAATCCAGGTATATGTTTGGCCATCACAACATCCCATGGCAATGAGTTCTATAAGTTAACTTTGTGTTGTGTGAAAAAGTGCTTCCTCTTGTTGGTATTAAACCTGCTGCCTATTAATTTAATCCGGTGACCTCTGTTTTTTGTATTGTGGGAAAAATTAAATATCACTTCTGTATTCACTTTTTCCACAACATTCATGATTTTAAAGACATCTGTCATATCGCCCTTTTCCTCATCTGAACCTCATCTGATATTTTTAGTATCTCCTCATATGGAAGCCATTCCATACCCTTGATCACCTTCGTTGCCCTTTTCTGAACCTTTCCAATTCTGCTTTTTGAGATGGGGTGAACAGAAATGGACACGATATTAAATACATGGTGTGGATACACCATGTGGTATTATATTTTCTACATTTTTTTATCCCTTTCCTAATAGTTCCTAACATTCTGTTAACCTTGTTGACCACTGCTGTACATTGAGTTGAACTTTTCAGAGAACTGTCCCCAATGACTCCTCAGTCTTTCTTGAATAGTAACACCTAATTGAGAACTACACATAATATATGTGTAATTGAGCTTATTTTTTCCAATGTGCATTACTTTGACCTGTCAAGGTTGAATTTCATCTGTCACTTTGTTGCCCAGTGACCCAGTTTTGTGAGATCTTCCTGTAAATCTTTGTAGTCTGCTTTGGACTTAACTATCTTGAAATTATCCAGATCATTTGAGTATGTTGAACAGCACAGGTCCAAGTACATATCCTTGGGGGATCCTGCTGTTTACCTCTCTCCATTGTGAAAAACTGACCACTTATGCTTTGGTTTTTCTGTCTTTTTAGCTAGTTACTGATCCATGAGAGAATCTTCCCTGTTATCCCATGACTACTTAGTTTCCTTAAGAGTTGGTGAGAGACCTGTGTCTAGGCTTTCTGGAAATCCAAGTACTCTGTCAACTGGGTCATGCTTATCCACATGCTTGTTGACACCTTCAAAGAATTCTAATACATGGGTGAGGCATGATTTCCCTTTACAAAAGCCGTGTTGACTCTTCCCCCAATATGTTATATTCATCTATGCGTCTGATCATTCTGTTCTTTACCATAGTTTCTACCAGTTTGCCCAGCAATGAAGTTAGGCATACTGTCCTGTAATTGCCAGGATCACCTCTGGAGCCCTTTTTAAAAACTATTGTTACATTAGCTGCCTTCCAGTTATCTGGTACAGAGTTTTGTTTCAGCAATAGGTTTCAAATTACAGTTCTGCAATTTCATATTTGAGTTCCTTCTGAGCTCTTGGGTGAAAACCATCTTGTCCTGTAAAATACTGAACATAAATTGCTAAAAAAAAAAAAAAAAGCGGTAATAAAAATTGTTAAACAGACTGCATTTGTCTGGACAAGCTTGCCGATCATACAACGTAAATTGGACCCACCCAGCCTTGCTGCTTCTATATGGCCTGCAGGATGGAATGTTGAATTGGCCTGACTGGAAGCAACTCCGTCTGTCAATGACTAAAGGGCAAGTGATGTCTTCAAAACTTCCAAGTGTGGCTTGGTAGCCTAGTTAATTTTATGAAGCCTTGAAGAATATTTAACTGATCCATCAAGAGACCCAAGAAGATTGCATAGGGCTAACAGTGACTTTAAACTAAACATTTGGAACATAGCCCTTGTATTGAAACTGTTTAGGGGTGCAGAATCACAAATCTGTCACGCTGTTTTTGGATACATTTGGCCTGAATTGCAGGTGATTGAGGTTAGGAAGTGGCTTTACGGAGCTAAGTGAGGGAGTCTTCCCACACCTTCTTTCTGGTTGCACACTCTACCTGACCGAAACCACTACTACCCCTGAAGCTCCCTGTTAGCTGCTAAGTATAGATGTACAGAAAGCTATGACCATGGATGCTTAGATATTATGATGATGGAAGCCAAATAAATACCTAGATAGATACGTGGTTATACTGGGCCTGGACTTTCACTAGCAGTAACTTCCTCTCTCCAGTTTTCTTTTTTTAAAGAAAAACATTGAAATACATTGGGTGGTAAGTGGCAGACATTCTAGTAGAATTGTCCTTAAACAATAAATGGTTTTCAATAAATGCATACCATGTTACTTTGAAGTTATAGAAGGAAACTAACTAGCTGTACTATTGGGCAAGAACAGCGGTCAAGTGACTTTTGTAATGCATTTGAATTTCAAAATATTTTTATGGTTTACCAGTAAGAAATTATGCTTGTATTTCAGTAATCACTTGGGAAAGAGCCTGCAATTACTGATGGACAGAGTGGATGAAATGAGCCAGGATATAGTTAAATACAACACTTACCTGAGGAACACAAGCAAGCAGCAGCAGCAGAAACACCAGGTTGGTAGCTGAGAGAAGCTGAATCAAAGCTTTTTTCCCCACAAAATGAGGGTGAAGCATCGTATTAGGCTACATTTAATACCATTCAAACTACACATTAGAAGCTCACTGCATGTCAGCTGCTACATATAGAGGTTTGTTCAGAAAGCTAACTTTCTGTGCATTATTTGAAACGCTTTGCCACAAACATCTGCCTACTTAGAACAGAGAGATGGTAACATCAGATGACAAACTCTGTTTTCACTTTGTATTGCCCAGGTTATGTGAATAATGCAAAGAGGCATTTATTTGGAAAATCCAAGTGAAGTAGGTTCCAGGGTGTTGCACCTCATTTCTTTACTAACTTTAATTGCTTTAGTAGTGGATCATTGCAGTGTAGTTAGCAGTCTGTACTTCATTTATAAAATGGAGCAATTGTGATTAAGAGAAAGCAATTTTGATAAGAAACAAGAACCCCGCTGCTGAGAAGTGGATGGTGCAATGTAATGTAACTCCCTCACATGCAGATATATGAATGTTTAACCTTTTCTTTATCAATGTGGCCTGAAGACCACATTTGTCATTGCTGCTGAAAAATTGTTGATTGACAACATTTCGTACCTGATAGCATACTGAAATGCATTCAGCTACCTCTGCGCTGATGTATCAAACTGATGATTAAGATATCATGTGTGACTTTTGGCCTTCATATTTAAATACATTTGCTATGAGTTTAAGTGAGCAAGATACAGATTAAAGTTTATGCCTTTACTATCTGCATATATCTAGCTAATCCCAACATTCATTTTTATATGTATGGTACCACACAAAATATGTTAAATGGCTTCTAAAATATTTATATCTCTTTAAACATAAATGTAACATTTTGTAAAAACATAAATATTCAGCTAATGGCTGAAAAGTGGTCTTGCTTCACTTAATTTAAAAATATTGTAAAAATAGAATTGAAAAGGGAAGAACTATAAGAACAAACTGTAAACACCTTCTTTGATAAACCAGTCAAATTACTTTAATTCTTCCTTCTAGTGGCCCATACAGTAATGACTTCTAAGTGGCAACATACCCAAGCACTTGTAATGCATAAAAGAACTAATAAAGCTTGAGATGTACTGATGGACAATAACTTGTTTTAACCAACTCTGTATCGTTAATTTGTGCTTTTCACTCTTCAGCTGAAGAGAATGTTATTAAGGGGTCTTTTCCTCCTGTCATACAGCAACAACATTGTGTTGATGTAGGACTTAGGAATTTCTAAATTTGTATGTATTTATTTTTATCTGCTGCAAAATTACTTAAGGTAATTGGCTTCTTGTACACACTTAAATTCTAGCTACTCATTTGACTGTTTGAGAAAATTGAGTCTTTTGCACCCTGCTGATCTTTCTATCAAATATACTGCTGACTTAGCTTCAGTAAAAATGGATTTTAACCTCCTTCCAATACAGAATGTTACAGTACATCTTTCTGCTTACAAAAGTCCCAACTCAAAAGTAAAGTTAAACATATTTTTTAATAAAACCCCTATTGATATATAGGCATTCTGAGTGTAGTTAATTTTGGTTTGTACTTTTGGGGGATTGGGCAGGTTTTATTAAATAAAATCCACATATGGGTGAAGTAACTCCTTTAATTCCTTTGTTGGCTTCACTTGAGAAGCTTCCCTTTAGTGAGCTATACTTGTGTTAAGAATCCTACCACAATCTTTGTTTGTTGCATTGTTTCCAGTACCAGCAGAGACGTCAGCAAGAAAACTTACAGCGACAGAGTCGAGGAGAGCCTCCGCTTCCTGAAGAGGACATGAGCAAACTGTTCAAACCTCCACAACCCCCTGCCAGAATGGATTCACTGCTTATTGCAGGTAATGGTTCTGGAGATCTTTCTCACTTCATAGCCACAGGAAAATACAGTTGTTACCCTTTAATATCCTGAAAAATATACTCTCTCAGATCTTGGGAGACAGACCAGTCCTCGCTTATAGACAGCCCGCCAACCGAAAGCAAATACTTACTAGCAACCACACAACAAAAACACTAACCCAGGAACCTATCCTTGCAACAAAGCCCAGTGCCAACTCTGTCCACATATCCATTCAGGGGACACCATCATAGGGCCTAATCACATCAGCCACAATATCAGAGGCTCGTTCACCTGCATATCTACCAATGTGATATGTGCCAGCAATGCCCCTCTGCCTTGTATATTGGCCAAACCGGACAGTCTCTACGCAAAAGAATAAATGGACACAAATCTGACATGAGGAATCATAACATTCAAAAACCGGTAGGAGAACACTTCAACCTCTCTGGCCACTCAGTAAAAGATCTAAGGGTGGCAATTTTGCAACAGAAAAGCTTCAAAAACAGACTCCAATGAGAAACTGCTGAGTTTGAATTAATATGCAAACTAGATACCATTAACTTGGGTTTGAATAGAGATTGGGTGGTGGCTGAGTCATTACGCATATTGAATCTATTTCCTTAAGTTAAGTATCCTCCTACCTTCTTGTCAACTGTCTAAATGGGCCATCTTGATTATCACTACAAAAGTCTTTTTCTCCTGCTGATAATAGATAATATATATATATCTTACTATATGTTCCATTCTGTGCATCCAATGAAGTGGGCTGTAGCTCACGAAAGCTTATGCTCTAATAAATTGGTTAGTCTCTAAGGTGCCACAAGTACTCCTGTTCTTTTTGCGGATACAGACTAACACGACTGCTACTCGGAAACCTTTAATATCCTGCTTTTACTTTACATATGATGTCATGTGATCTCTCCATGTTTGCTCTGTTTCCCTTTGCTTAGTCTCTCTAGGGAAATACCTAAGGAATATAACAAATGCTGATGAAAAATTGTGTAGCCTAAGTTTAAAGGTAACCACAGTATTAAACTGAAATAGAGATCTAAAGCTAGTTTGTAGGGGAGAGCTTTAAATTTTTGTGGATGTGGGGATTGTGCAGTTTCATCTCCTCTTCAGATCTAGTTCTCTCATGGCTGGGAGAATTAAATCTGGCCAGTGGAGCTCTAGGTGAAGAACAGTTTCATTTTCTCTCCCAGTGAAAGAAGTGGTGAGTGGAAACAGAGCATGGGCTTCTCCTACATGTTCAGCCTCTCCTCTTGTGCAGCCACTGATTGCCACACCTGACTCCAGCTCGTCTCCCGTTTCCTGTCCTTGGTAGGACGTACAAGACAGATACCAGAGATGCAGCCAGGAGCAGAAACATAGAACCCAAGCGCTCCCCCTCCCCCCGTGCCCCAACCCCCAAAGAATCCTAGGATGGGAGACGTGACGAGAAAGAGAATTGCTTAATATTAGGATGAAGATTATATTTGAGTTTTTTCTGCTTGTTGAGCCAGTTGACTGTTGCCACTAATTGGATAACATTCACTTGAAAGGCACTCAGATATATTAGCTCCCTAATATTTTGAATTCTCATGCCATTTGAAGTAATTTGGAAGATTTTTACACACACCATATACAGAGAGCGAGAGAGAGAATTAAAATAAAGCCCTGTGTAGTCTGGTGCAGTGGAAGGAATGAGCAACTAACCAATCACACAAATACAAAATTAAAAGAATTGGCCCTTAGCCTTGTTGCTTGAAACAATTCAAATGAGGGAAAAAACAAGCTTTGGTGAGTCACTTTTATAGTATAGCTTTAAAACAATAAGTGTCCTGGTTTATTAATCCTTCTGAGGTCTCAGAATTCTGAGTGTTGTCTTGGTACAATTTGTCTTGGATAATGAATCTTAGCAGCACAATGCTACTTGAAAAATACACGCTAACGTTTTACGCAATGTGATAGAGAAAGTGAGTGTGCTTGCTTTTATGATGGTGGGTTATGGCTCAGTCTTCTACGAGAAGGGAAAGTGAAAACAATTATACTCCAAAGCAAAAATAGCCTTCAGCCAAAACACTTTCTCCATTTGTTCTCTTTAGCATAGTTGGGGAAGAACTGAAAGCATCCACTTCTTCAATTCATATGGAGTTAAGTTTGGAGATAAAGAATAAAACGTAACTGTTTTGCGTCTGAGTCATTTAAAAACTTTTAAATAGAGCATTAAATTGAAAGTTTATTGGTCTGCTAAACAGTCTTAATTTTGATTAAACTGGCTTTGGTTTGCTCTTCCTGACAAACAGGATAAATAACTTGTAGAAGCACTTGTATAAAAATGGTTTTATGGAGATGTTTGATCTGTGTAGCACTGACAAGTCTTCGTAGCCTAAGGATTTTTGAAATTGCTAATAAAGTGAAATATTTGGTGAAAACGTGGCCAATTAAACGTCAGATGGGGAAGTTTTCAAACTAATAGTGGAACACATATGATGATTCTTTTTTAACTGGGACAGCAACTGAGTAAGAATTAAACTGAAATTTAGCCGTGCGGTGTTTTTAGGGCTTCTAAATTCAAACAGTTAATTGATGTGGTTAAGCATCCCACCCAGCACCATGAATTGTTTATCCTTTATATCGTTCAGCTGCCTTTTCAGAAGTTGCATGTGATGCAACTTTTTTGGAATTAAAATTGGATCCTGCTTACAGAAGTGATAATTCATTTTAATGCATACTAACTTATCCATTCTGCTTATTTATTTCCTGTTCTTCCGAACTCTATTTGCGTATTTAAAGACTCCTTCAAATCTCTAAGCATAGGAGCAGTCAAATTGTGCAGGATGCTGTTCTACCTTATAGAAATGGTATGTTTTAATAACAAATGCTGTTTGAATTTTAAATTATAATCAGAGTTTTTTGTTTTTTCCTGTTGACAGGTCAAATTAATAACTATTGCCAGAATATCAAGGAGTTTACTGCACAGAACCTGGGCAAACTCTTCATGGCGCAGGCTCTTCAAGAGTACAATAACTAAAGAGAAAAATCTGGTATTTGATATGATCTCCATCAAAAGGAGATGGCCTGACTCTCAGTTTATACTTCTGACAACACTTTTAAAACCATTGTTTGTGTATTGGAAAAATATTTTGTGAAACCAAGGCACACCGGTTTGCCTAGAATTCTCGTCTAAAGAAAAATAAAAGCAAATTTTAACACTTTTGTTTGGCATTTCCTTATTTGTTGGCCAGATTAGACTGGAATTTTCCATGGTGTTCCCTCAAGGTTTTCTTAACACTCAGTGTTAATTAACTCATGTTGCATGTCCTACTACATTCATTTGTACCAAACAATAATACATGTATTTAACTTGGAAACTAGGAATAAAAAATACCTCCTATGAGCAACATGGCTGAGTTAACTTTGCAAGAGAAATCTTAGCTTTTTGAGTTTCCTGATTTGAGTGCTTGAGTTTACAATCATAATGTTGCATTGGTAATAGTTTCTTTGCATTTACCTTCTCTGGACTTTCTAGTACCACATTTAGCTTGCATAACACAAAAATGTCATAGGCTTCACCAGCAGAATATACAAATATCTTGTAATGCATCATAGTTAAACCTCAATTATCTGAACCCTGATTAATTCAAATTGTTACACAGAGGTCTGATGCACTCCCTGCAGTTTGGCTGGATTTAAACTGTGCAGAAAAAGAACCATAGAGGATTTCAGTTCTGTGGAGTTCGTCATACATGTTGATGGATTTGGAGCTGGTTGGTAATAATTCAAAAATGCTGCATGTTGACCTGGTTATTGGGATGTTTGCATTATGACTGTATTGTTTTAGTTTAATATTGAGCTGTCTAGAAAGACAAGCAGGAAAGGAAGAAATGGCTCAAGATAAACCACCCCATAGCAAACACTTCACACTTGTTAAGGGATAATACCCAAACTGTTAGCTTTGAAAATCTTCTCCCCAGCCAAACTGCAAAACTAATTTTGTCTAGAATGGCTAAAGGCCCGGAATGCAGAAGACTAAAAAAAGCCATGAGAGTTTAAAAAAGGCATGCTCTCTTTCTCAGCAAAGGCAGGAGTTGTTTGAAAGAACTAGGCTGAGATACAGAATGCTCCTCTAACGGTGTCTGAAGAAGTTAGACATGCTTAGTTTACCATCAGCCTTTTGTTAAGACAGATGTGTATAGGCTGTTTTAAAATCCATTTTCTCAATGCTGTAGCTCAGGGCTCAGTCTAAAAGTGGGAGAACTGTGGAATTCCACCCCAGGATAGATACAAGCACAAGTCCTGACATCTGAGGGGGTGCATTCAAACAGGACCACAAAAGGGACAAATGCAACTAGTCCTGTAACAGTGCCATGTGCCGTGGGGAAGTTTTTGATGGTGTATGCATTGAACAAATACACAACTTCAGAGCAGAGCTAATCATCTGGCATGTTTTATACCCTATCCTGACTTACTACACAGTGAACACCTGCTCATTGAACTCACTGGGTTGTCCAGATAACAACCTACAATGGCTCCTTGTCTGATGCAGTGTTACTGAAGCTCACGTGCTTTCGGAGGTGCTGTAAGTGAGCAACTTATTCCAAACCTAAGCAAACTGGCTGCTCTTAAAAGCTCCTCCATCCTGTGGTCCAAATCATTTCAGTTAATCAACCTGACATTATCCTGCTTCAGCAGCTGATCTTTTAAAATCCTGGAACGGAATAACTACCTGTGAGCACGAGTGTTCACAGCCAGCAGCTTAGCAGAAGCTTCTATTTAATCAGCCCTACATTTTCAAACATGGTTACTCTTAAACCATTTTTTCTTCAGATTTAGCTAAACATGTATTTGGGATGTCAGTGTGCTTTAACAAGCAAGTCTGAAGTTTGAGTTCATCTCTTATCCTTACAAGAACACAATGTGTGCTCAGTACTTGTTCATACAACAGGAACAGTAGGTGGGGCTTATACTCAGAAAACTTAAAAGGCTGAACAGATTTAGCTGAAACTTTTCAGAACAATTCACCTTCAGATAGAGATCAAACATGAAAAATTTCAGCACAAAAGGAGAATGTTTTGGAAAGTTAAGAGCATGTGAAAATTCAGTGTTTAGAATGGAAATCTTTTTTTAGCCTTAACTGTAGTAATTGATATAATATATAGATTTATATGAAAATTATGTACAGTTCTCAGGCACCTGGCAAACTGCCTATGCAGCCTGCCTTGTTGCAAAGTTTGGGCACCTTTGCATTAACTGTTTGTTGTATAAACTAATCTAAATTCAAAGATCTAATGAAGTGTCCTGTTACAGTACCACATTATTCTGAGTACCTTTTCATATACAAAGACCTCGAGGTAAATAGTTACACACTTTTTTAAAAGGACCGAAAACAGCATGGGAGGAAAAACTAAGGAGCAAGAGTGAAGGGAATAAAGAACTGGAATAAGATGGAGACTTGAGGTAGTATCTTCTAGATGCCTGGAAATAGAGAAGGCGGCTTATACCTTACAGTGACTCAACTGTGTGACTGACTGGCATGCTAATGCTGAACAAGCAGATGTAGCATAGAAGGGAATGAATAAAGAAGGCCTACAAGGTAGGTCGTATCAAAAGCTACACTGGAGGGTTTTAAGAACAAGACGTCAATTTTGAACATGAATCTAAAATGAAGCAGCTGAGTTCTTTGTGGACGGGGGATGTAAATGTGAGAGATGGACAGTAACATACTCCAATGGACTTAAAGTTTGAGTTTAATGAATTTTATGTGGATAAAAGGGATTTGCAGCAAGGTGATAATATGAAGACAGATGGAAGATTTCAACAGAGGTGGCATAACACCAGCCCTGGATAAGGCATGCTTGGGAAATTTCAGAAGAGAAGACAGCTGAGGGCCAAGGTTAGACAAAGGAGATAAATGAGTCCTGAGCTGAGCTGAGAGGCAAGATAAAGGCTGAGAGTTCTGCCTCAGTCAAAAGGAAAGCTCTCTGGTCTTCTAAGTCAGGAAATTTATTGAAGCATGAGAGAGTGAATGGTCAGGGAGGAGTCACTAACGCCATTGATCTACAAATGAGTAGCAGCATATGCATGGTAGTTTATTTACACACCCGGAGAAATCAGGCAGTGTCTGCACACCATGCCCACTTAGAGCTTGCGCCCAGCCTCCACTTGTGCTCCATGTTCCCATGGCTGCCTTTGTTTGGTGTTCTGTTCCTTGTTGCCGTAAGTCAGGCTACTCAGGTCAGTGAGCTGGCATCTCATTCTCCATAAGATGATGATCTCAGTCACTCTTTAATCAGAAGATTTAATATTTACTTATTTTTTTGTCGTTTCTCAAATGACAAAGCCCTTCCAGCATGCTTGGGACGTTAGAGGAGTCTTTAAATTCTACCTGGAAAGAAGTCCGAATGTGTTTCAATTGGCTTGAGAATTATCATGTAAGCAGTGGTCAGGGTTTGGGCTAAGACTTTGAAGGTTACATCGACTTGCTGAAGTAACTAATCATGCTTCTCAGTGTTCCAGAATTCTCCAGTCTGGCAGTGCGAAGATGATATATCCTACTAGCATCACTAGTGAGCTTGAGATCTGGGTTTTTTTCCCCCTTTGAATTGTGCAGCTCCCATCATTTTTAATGAGTTCTGTGTGTGTGCATCACAGGAAGAACAGGCTCCTAATGAGAAACAGAGCGATTGCAACTGACAATTTTGACTTCCAGACTGCAAACTGTAGTATGACTGAAATGAGTTGTACAACGGTCCAGGGAAAAAGAATTGTTTGCTATGCATTACACAAAACTGGAAACTATGTTAACAGAAGGTCTCATAACTAAATGTTGAGACTTACAAAGTGTGTTCCGCATCTGCATGTTTGTGTGTATTTAAAAACAAATGGTGCTAGTGTATAGTTTCACTGCAGGAGACCCCTTTATTTAGAAGCACTGCAGCAAAGAAAATACTTCTTTGGAACTCAGCCCTGCTTTGTGCACTCAACTCCTATTGTGAAGTTATTCAGAGCAGATCTTGTGAAGTTTGGTTTGTGGGAGGGGGGCAAAGGATTGGTTGCTGAGGAAAGAACTGTTGTAAATAGGTTCTGGTAAATCATAAATTAAATTTCCGCTGTTTGGTTCAGACCGTACAGCTAGAGTTGCAACCACCTTCACTGATGTGCCTGACGTCACGAAGTACAGTTTCAATTCTAGTGTGATGTTCACTACTCTTGCTCCACTGCCAGGTGGTGTGGTATAAAAGCTACTTTGTGCTGATTAATTTGAGATCCCTCAGGAATCAGAATGTCTTCCCTCCCCTTAATTACAGCCTTAACTTGCTCACATCACCAGTTCCTTCCCCCATGACCTTCTGTTTAAGAGGAAACTTCCATCTCCTCTTCCACCAACTCCGTCTCCACACAAACACACCAGTTGTATTCCCCTCACCTTTGTCCTTGGCATGGAACTGCCTTTCTATTCCCTGGGGTTGACACAGCAAAGCTCCTTGAAAGAAGCAATAGAAGATGGTGTCATGCTGAGTGTTAGGCCTGCTAATTGCATGAGCTTGGCAAAAGAATGGCTTTGCAATTGCCAATCATGGTTGAACTTGGCTTGGTTGTCGTCAGTCTCTATAATTAAAAGGAACATTTAAAAGAAACAAGACCAAATGGGAAATTTTTTCTACAATCAAATAAGCTCTCATTTGACATGTCCGTGTCTCATCCAAGGTATAAACCAGTACTTGATGCAGTTCTTGGCATTTTCAGAGCTACACTCCAGATGGAATTTTGTGCAAATGTTCATTGTGCAGCCCACTGATCAGATGGAAATCCAGGAGAGGATTAGGTGCTTGTTGGGGTGCTTCATAATTATCATTGTACATCCCCCATCTCTTTCTCACTCTCAGAGCTTGACTCTCCACTGCCCTGCAACCTGTGTAGTCCTCTGCACCCCTGAGCAAAGTTGAATGCAGAGTGGGTGCAAAATGCTGCCAAATAAGTGTGCCGGCATTTCCTAGATGCAAATGATCACATAAAGTGCATAGTAGTGGAAAATTAGGCCATCTAAGTTGTAGATTGGGGTGGGCAAACTACGGGCCAGATCCAGCCCCTCAGGGCTTTGGATCCAGCCCGCAGGATTAGCCCCCTAGGCGCCGCAGGCCCCACGTCGCTCTCAGAAGCGGCTGGCACCATGTCCCTGGAGCGGGGGTAGGGGAGAGAACAGAGGGCTCCA